TTAAGGTAGGAGTGAGCGAAGCGAGCTCGACTGAGCCCTTGTATGTTCTTATTGATTAACTTACCCGCATAATTGGGTCTCACTCGTTTGTCGTAGTCTGCAGTGAGAATGGTGTCCAGAATATGAGTAATATTCCGGCCAATGTCTGATTGCGCACTGAAAGTTTGATAAACAACAAAAAACAGTTAGAAGTGCTAAATAAACAAATAGTAAAGTAGAAGTTTTCCTACTTGTCAAGTGCAGCAGCCGATTCGACCGGGTGGCTGAAGAAGGTAAGCAAAACCAAACAGAACCAGGTAAACAACATTGTCATAGGGGGATTGTTTAACGCAGCCATTCTCTTTGCCAGACAATTACTGAGTAACCATAAGCAAACAGAGTTGAGCTGAGCTTTGCTCCAAAATTCTCGCTTCAGTTCCAGCAAATGCAGGATGCACAAGCTCGACTGTTTCGGATCAGTTCTATATACCAAAGAGAGGGCGCTACTACCCAGCCACTACACAACCGCACAAGCGGCAACAACAGCTGAACGTCTACTGCCTGCTTTTTCTGCCCTTTGACATAAATGACTATGCCAAAAGAAGGTCAATGCTTCCCCTTCAATTTTCAATCACGGCGTACAAGGAAAAAACGAGGGAAAAGTTATATCTCCAATCTCGACTGTGTCTCTCCCTTTTGCGTTAATTTGGAGTAATGAACACATTCAAAGTAGACAGGCAGATACCAAAACATAAAGAGTGCCGTCAAGTAGAACTGCCCTCCTGTCATTACTGTCATCTGCTTGGCTAATGGAACTGTCACCCAATTGCTGGCCCAATGCCAAACTAATATTGCTGGCTGCCCGTTATATAAACAATGACTTTGTTCAAATAAATTTTTTGACAAATTTTATTAAAATTAAAATAATCGATAACTAAACATGAGAACTTTTGCGTAAAACATCATGAATTTAATAAAAGATTCTAGCGTAATAAGGCAGACAATTGGAAATGTGATTCCGTAGCGCTTTTTCACATTAATCTTCTGAATGTAACAGTCGAGATGAAGGCGATCTCGTGTATTGAAACAATGTTTTCCAAAAATATTCACCTGCCAGTGAAGCAGACGATGGCGGCATTTGTGTAGATAACTGACATAGATGGTGCCGATTATTGGAAATGTAACAAGCCCGTTGTAAAGGAAAATAAGAAAAATACCAAAGTAAGAGGATGCAAATAAGTTGAATCTGTTTCTGATGAGTCCCATCAAAGCAAGCGCACTTAGTGGAATCACGCAAATGGTGTACACCAGCAGGAGTGATCCAAAGTACCGGTCAGCGTAGAGAATATGCACTAGAGTTTGTGAGTGAAAGTGCGTGAAACGATAAAGATCACGTCTGGAAAACTTGCTCTTGCACAAAATGGCATTAATTTGTTTTAAACGAAGGAAAAATATTAAAGAAAATGCAAGGCCCACTGTGGGAGCAACTGAGTTGATTGTTCCAAGGCAGATAAACCAAAAGTCAGTGCTAAGTGCGTTGAACAGTAGATACAGTAGACTCAAACTACCAAAAAAGGTAGTCAAGTAGAACTGCCAGTCAATGTAAATGTAATAAAATGACTTGCAATGAAAAGCAATCATGTATATCACTAAAAAGAAGAATCATATGTTACTTTAGCACACGGTTGTTAACAAAAATTACCAAAATACAATAAAAGAGATTGAAATAGCGTTTGATAAATCGTAACACACTTTTTCAATAAATGATGCCACTTTATTGCATTTTTGTTTTTAATTTTTTTGTAATTGTTTAAAAAATAACCGTTAAAATCTTGATAAAATATTTTATTGACAAGCAGTATTGGATAGGCTTTCTTTTTACTATCAGCAAAAAAATAACTTCGGTAAAAAAAGTAAATCAATTCAGTGCCCATTAAAATGCTAAAAGAAATCATAGATGCCGGACAATCTCCAAATAGAAAAATTATATCGTATGTTATAAATCGATAAAATCTATTATGTTGGCTAAAAGTTAATGAAATAAATTGCAGCATTTTGAAAATAAAAATAAAAATTATAATTGAGATGCAGTATGAAATATCTTTGCCTTTACGAGTTTGATACTCTCCGTTTAAATTTCGGTTACTAGTTTCAGCAATATCACTTAAATATGATCTGAAAAGTTTTTCGGGACGCCAAAATTGGGTCCATATAAAAATGTTATAAAATGAAAACATTTTTGAGTTGTAGATACTTTTAAACTGCATAAAAGAAATGTTAAAATAAAAATTATAAAATAGTTTTAAAATAAACAAAAAATTAATTGTTAAAATGAACAAAGTTAAATATAATTTAGTAAACTTTTATTTCAAGTTAAAGTTAACGGTGTTTTCTAATAACACATTTCAATTTTCTGATACGTTTAATTGTTTGTAAAATGAAAGATAATATTTCCAAAAATTCTAGCATTTGTACTGTAGGAGAGGGCGTTAAGCAAAAGGATACTTAACTTTAACAACAGAAATATAGAGTTTTAAACTGACAAAGTAAACTTAGTCAGCAGCCTGGCTACTCCTCCCAGATAGCATTTGGACTTTAAGTTTTAAAACTAAAACAATCGATAACTAAACATTATCGCCTTGGCGTAGAAAAGCATAAACTTGGTGAAGGATTCCAACGAAATCAAGCAAACTGAAGGCAATGTTATTCCGTAGCGTTTTTTTACGTTAAACTTTGAAATGTAGCAGTTTAAATGTAGACGATCTTTTGTTGAAAAACGATCATTGTTTTCTATAAACACTTGCCAATGAAGCAGGGGAGAGCGACATTTGTGAATATATCTGGAATACACACTAGCCAATAGGTGAAAGCCAATTATGCCATCGTAAATGAACACAAGGAACATGCTAAAATAACCCCTGGTAAAAGTATTGAAACCTCCACAAGCTAGTCCCATGACGATCAACGCACTTAAGGGCATTATGCAGATAATGTACCAGAGCAGAAATGAGCCAAAATACTTGTCTGCGTACAAAATATTAACAAGAGTTTTTGAATGAAAACTGGTAAACCGATAAAGGTAAAATTTGTTTAAACGTTTTCGATTTAAGATAGTATTGGTTTGTTTTAAACGAAGAAAAAATATAAGCGAAAATGATAATGCAACAGAAGAGGCTACAAAGTCAACCATTCCAAGATGAATGAACCAGTAATCAGTGTACAATGAGTTGAACAGTAGGTACAATAAACACATAAAACCGAAAAAAGTGTTAAGGTAAAACTCCCAATCATTGTAGATGTAATACAATGAAATACAATGAAAAATTGCTATGTAAGTTACAAAAAAGATAAAACAAAACTCATAAAGCCACTGGTAATTTTTCAAATATGATTTTAGCACAAAACTCCATTTAACTTTGCTTTCAGCTTGTTTCTTTTTTTGAAGTTTTTTCATATTAGTTCCATTATCTTTTTTCTTTGTTTTATATTGATAAAGAAAGTAGTTATTATCGTTATGATAAAGTACTCTGTAAATCAGCAGGATTGGGAAAGCTTTTTTGCAGTTATCGGCATAGAAATAACCCCTATGTAAAAAATAAAACAATTGACTGATAAATGATAAGTGAAAAATACTCATCGATGATGGACAATTAAAAAAGATTAGTGTATCATATGTAATCAAACGGTAAAATGAATTTTGATAAAATAAAAGTGAAAAATATTGAATCATTCTTATAAAAAAAGTAAACAGTATGAATGAAACGCAATATAAAGTTTGTCGTCCTTCATAGGTTAGACATTTTCCTTTCAAATCTCGTTTGCAAGTTTTTTCAATATCTTTTAAATACAATTTAAAAATTTTTTCAGGATGCCAAAATTGTAACCAGCCAAAAATTTTTGAAAATTTAAACATTTTTATTATTAAAAAAGTATTTTTTGAAACTGTTATTGCCAATTGCCAAAAATTGATTGTTTTTAAACAAATTAAACTTCTTAAAAATGTTCAAGTAACTAATGAAGTAACTATAAATTAATAATTAAAATTAAAAAAACTTTACTGTTGCTTTGTTTTGGCTAAACTTAAAACGTAGTTTTATTTATAAATACAGTTCAGCACAAATTGATCAATAAAGACATTCAGTGTAAGGCTCAATAAAATGTTTAAATTTAAAAAATAAAATTAACAACAATTTTATTTTTGTGATTAATTTTACTTTGCAGTAACAATTTGTCAATTTTACAACAAGCCAATCAATTTTGCACTATTTCAATTGCGTTTTACTAAAATTTAAACGTTGTCAAGTACACTAAAAAAGCAGTTTGCCAACGGTAATTAATTATAGTCAAAATGATTATAGTAATTGAAAAGAATAAACAAATAAAAGTTAATGACCGGTGAACGAATCAGTGAATGCAAATGGACATGAAGAGTCAACAACAATTTCGGCAGAAAACTCCAGTTTTGTGTCCATTAGCTAAGCAAACAAATTGTAACAAAAAGCTACTTTATGTTATTTTTTATTTTACGTAGTCTACATTTTGTCTCTAAACCAATGCATTTTGACTGTGATTTTTTTGTCAATTAATTATGAAATCTATTGGACAATGGAAAATGTGTTTTTCTATCCTTGTTCAATTTCTTGTGAACCGCCAGTGCAAAAATCGCCTGTACACAACATTATCTATCTTTTAAGGTACAACAAACTCTACCACATTTATCAAACTTATTGATAATGTGTCAAAATCGTTTTACAAGTGTCATTTTTTATTACTAAAAGAAGTAATTAAATAGTCATATTGCAAACAACCAGTGCTGGACTGATTAGCTGTGTTTGACATCGCAACAACGAAATGTGGTTTTTTAACCGGCGGACGTTTCTATTTCTTTTTCTCTCTACAATAGTTGCTCTAATTGCACTGTTTTTGCAACACCCACGTGAAAAACACCCAGAGTTGGGTAAATCTACGGTAAGATACTTTTTAATAATTTTAACAACAGTAAAAGAAAACTTTCATTCTAGCAAGAACGCATCGAGCTACGAGGCTTCAAACATGAAACGCATTTCATTGCCTCAAAAAGTGGCTACATTTTGCAAACTATTCGCATTGTTAATCCACACATTTCCCCTTCTGGTCGAGCAAAGTTGAAGCCAATTCTACTTCAACATGGCTTTCAAGGGTCATCCGCCGCTTGGGTTAGTGCAGCCACTGGACAGTTGAGGGCAGATGGTACCTATTGGGAGGACGTGGTACACCGGCGAGATCCAAACGCAGTTGGCAATACAATTGGTTTTGTTTTGGCCACTTCAGGCTATGATGTGTGGATTGGAAACACTCGGTAAGAGGTTCGGCTATTTGGATTTAACAAAAACTTAACATGGTATTTTTACAAGGGGCAACATTTACTCGGCTAACCACAGCACACTGTCAATTGATTCGAAAGAGTTTTGGGACTTTTCTTTAGACGAAATCATTCGAGAAGATTTGCCAGCAGTCATCGATTACATTTGTGAGCACACAAAGTCAAAGAAAATTGCCTACATTGGCCATTCTCAGGGTACGACGATGATGTTTGGTCTGATGGCCACAGAAAAAGGGGTTCGCTATAACCACATAGTTGAGCCGTTCATTGCAATGGCACCAGTTTGCTACTTTACCAACTTCAAGGCATCCGAAATTAAAAGCTTAAAGCCATTTAAGGAGAAACTGTTCTGGTTGTTCCCAAAAAGCTTTGGTTTTGGCACCTTTCGTAAGCTGCCTCTGGCCAATCTCTGCACCAATGACTGGCTTCGTGGCAACATTTGCTACCGCATGGCAATGAAAACTGCCTCTGTCTCTCAAATTGACCTGGATCGAGTCCCCGTTTTTATTGACAACGTTTTCATGGGCTCATCAACGCGAAATCTGGTTCATCTGCTGCAGCAGAACCACGGTTTGACCTACTACGATTTTGGCACTGCTCAACAGAACATGGAACACTACGGTACGGCAGTGCCACCAGCGTACAACTTTAGCCAAATCACCAGTCAAAGTTTGGTAGAGATTCATGTCAAGCATGACTTGCTACTTGATTTAGAAAATATTCAGCTGCTCAAAAATGATCTAAAAGGTTGGTCGACTATTAATTAGCAAAACAGTTTCAATAACTTTTGCGTTCTTACAGTGCCTTTTGCATATGAGTACCAGGTGCCTGATGAAACATGGGCTCACACCGATATGATTCTAGGCAAAGATGTTGGAAAGTATGTGAATAGTAAAGTTTTAGAAATTCTTAAAAAGTACTAAATAAAAATTATCAACATAAATCGCATTCTCATAAACTACCGCCAGTAACTTTTTGAACAAAAAACTTGTTTTCTCTTTGCCGGGGTGTCGGCTCTGGTAACATCGAGGCACTTCTCACTGTCAGCAGCAAATTCGGGCAATATTCGTGCAAATATCTCTGCTCCCGCCTTCTATATAAAGCTCACTACACACACACACACATCCTCAGTTGAAGGCTTGCTTGTCTGTGTTAGCAATAAACACTGTTGCCTAGTGACAGCGGCCGTCTCCGCTCAGCACAGTAATACTTGTCATTCTGCATTGCGCGCTTCTTGTTTCACTCTTGTTCCACTCACTCTGTGTGTCCTTCACTGTGTGCCCTTTCGGTGATCACCTGACGAAAAGAAGTGACCAGTAAATCTGAGTTCAGTATAAATACTCCTCACACATCACCACAACAACCTCCAGACAAGTACCCTTGCAACGAAAACCGAAATGAGCGACGTGGACATTGCCATCGCCGATGGGCGACTTCGCTTCACCGTGGGTGACACCGTTGCTGGTGTTGTCCACTTGACCGTGCCAAAGGATCTGGCCAACAATTCTGTCATGGTATCTTTTCACTGCTGTGGAGAGGTCAAGTGGATCGAGTATCCAGGTACTCCGTACTACCTCAACGGACATGTCTACTTTGATCAGATTGCCTTCCACGATGAGGCGGCCAAGTGCCTGGAAAAAGGTAATGACAACACTTTAAAACTAGTGTTTTTCTCCTAACAACCAAAATTTTTTAACATTTGCTTCTAGACATCAAAGAAGAATTGACTACTGACAGGAAGAAACTTCACATACCCTTCAGTTTTGTCATTCCCGATGAGTAAGTAGAGCCAATGTTTACGAGAGCTTCTTTTGCTAAACACACATCTCTTTTCACTTGTCAGCAAACGCCTTCCATCGACGATGATCAGCAATCACGGCTTCATACAGTATTTTGTTCGCGTGACCATCCCACTGCCCGGAAAAGAGTCTACTCCGGCTCGTTTTATCAAGGAGATCATCGTCCAGTCGCCCATCACCGACAACCTCCTCATCACCGTGGGCGGCAGCGCCGAGAAGTCGGTCCTTCTGCAGGGCGGTCAGAATGTGTCGATGCACGCCTCCCTTGGACGAAAAGGCTTCTACCCCGGAGAAACCATCACCGTGCACGTGTCAGTGAAAAATGGCACCAAGTCGGCAGTGGTCACGCCCCGAGTCACCCTCCACCAGGTGCAGATCTTCATGTGCGGCAGTCGTCACAAGACCATTGAGACTACCATTGGCGAGGCGACTCTGGGAACAGCCGTCCAGCCTGGGGGCGACGTCGAGGAGCTTCTCAGCCTGGTGGTGCCCGCCGATGAGTCGCTCACCATCAAGTCGTCGGTCATCAGCGTGAAGTACTTTGTACACTGCACACTTGACATACCGCTCTCTATTGATTTGCATACCAATCTGTCCGTGATAATCACCTCACGTGACGTCATTGAGGCTGCTGCTGCTGATCGTAAAGTTCAGCCATCGATAAAGGCCGTTTAAAGCCAGCCCCTCTTCAGTATTACATTCACACTGATTTGCTGCATTTGCACCGGAATATGTAGTCCGTTGATTGAAACAATTTGTGGTTGCCCAATTCGCCAATGCACTAGATTGTTGTTTTTGTCGCTTTTCATTTCTTTATTATCGTCACTGATTAAGGCGATGCACTGCAGCAGTGTTGCACCGTGCGTCTCTTTCAGCGGCAAAGATTAAATAAGTTTCCTTCGTATCTTGAAATGTTGATTGAGACAAATTTTTGCTTAAGAAAGAGCAAAAATTGATTGCTCTTCAATCGTAAATATATTTGATTATGATAAAAAATTATTTTTCATTGTTATTTAAAAAGTCATGGTACGCAAGTCGTCTCCAACTTCGTTTACCGTTTCGGAAAATGAACCAAAACCTAAATCTCGGTTCAAAGAGTCGTCGGTCACTAGCACCACAATCATCACCTTCTTCGTTTTACTATGTCTGGGCAACACCTGTCAGCTGATGATTTCCTCTATATTCAAGGGAACGCTAAGCACTCTGGAGCGTCGATTCTCTTACAGCACCACCATTTCCGCTGTCATCATGACCTCTGATCTGGTTATCTTTGCACTGGTTTGTAGTTACTTAGCGCACACTTAATTGTAAATTTCAGCTTTTTTCATTTTTTGCAGTTCAGTCCAATTGTGGGCTACTACGCCAACCACTTCAATCGCGTGCGAGTGATTGCCATCGGCTCGGTTACATTTGGCATCGCAAGTCTTATCAGCACACTGCCGTTCTTTATCTACGGCGCCCAGGACAGCGGTGGCGCCGGCAGCAGCAGTGGTGATCACCACTACCTGAACAGTACACTCTCTGCAGTGGTCGGCAGTAGCTCTCCTTCTGCCTCCTTTGACCTGTGCCCTTCCTCGTTGTCCTGTTCAGCGGCGGAAGGTGGACTGACCGGGGGCAACACTGTTTGGCTGGCAGTTCTGATGCTTTTTCTGGGTCGATTCTTCACCGGAATCGGCATCCTGGTGTACTATGTAGTGGCTATGCCGCTAGTTGATGATCTAGTTGGAAGTGAATCATCTCCGCTGTACATTAGGTAAATGAGGGAAAACCTTGTGTTTTAGTAACTGTATGTTCATGAATTTGATGTTTTTTAGCTGCATGCATGGCATCAATTTGGTGGGACGATTGTTGGGTTACTTTCTCAGCGCCTACACTCTAACCTTTAGCGAGAATCCATTTGAGCCATCTGGTCTTGATCCCAGTGATGTTCGCTTCATTGGCGCCTGGTGGCTGGGCTACTTTATTGCTGGCATTCTAGTCTTGATCACATCCATTCCATTGTTCTTTTTTCCTGCTGAACTAGGCAAAAGTTTAGCGGCAGTAGAGAATAGTGTTGAACTAAATTCTAAAGGCGGTGGAAGCTCTTTTATGGCCAGTTTTAAGCGTTTTATACGTAACCCTCTATTGGGTAATGTAACTTTATCACAAAGTTTTAAACAACTAACTTAATTTTTCTTTTTAGTACTTTTCTTTTTGGGCAATGAATTTAGGTAAATGACATTTCCTTTCTACTAAAACTTTTTTTTCTAAAAACACGTCCATTTTACAGATACATTGGTATAAATGGTTTTTACGCTTTCAAAGCCAAGTACATTGAGGCAGTGTACCGTACAACGGCAGCGCAGGCGAGCCTTATCACAGGGGCCACTGGTTTTATGCCCATCTCCGTTGGGTTGATCATTGGAGGACTGTACATTAGCTACTGCAAGCCTAAAACCAGACTGCTCTTTACGCTTGTCTTTTTTGCTGAACTGGTTTCGGTGGCCACCATTGGTAGTGGACTGTTTCTTGCCTGTGAACCGGTGAACATGGCTGGAACAGTATCCGGTGATGGAGGGTAGCTTGTTGGTTTTGGCTTGTACGAACTTTCATAAACAATTTGTTTCGTCTAGATTTTCTCTCGATTCAAGCTGCAATCAAAACTGCCACTGCTCTAGCACTGCCTTTAATCCTTTGTGTGCACCTGATGGAAAGACTACCTATTTTTCGCCTTGCCACGCTAGCTGTCGGTCATTCAACGAGAGCACAAATGTAAGTTTTTTGGTTTTGGTCAAGTTTGCTATGTTCACATTGGCGTACTCATCTTTAGACATTCGGCGATTGTGATTGCTTTATCGAAAACCTGCCTGCCACAAGCGGCTACTGCGCCGTTGACACCTCCTGTAGTCATCTCTCAACATGGCTGATTCTGTTGACACTCGGCACGCTCATCTCAGCCACTGCAAAGACGGGCAACAGTCTGATCACCTTCCGAGCATGCAGTCCAGAGGATAAGAGCTTCACTAATGGTATTCTCAGCTCCTTGATCAGCATTTTCGGTTTCATGCCTTGTGAACTCTCCTACGGGTACATTGTCGACTTTACCTGTCTCGTCTGGGACAGCAAGTGTGGTCAGACGGGCAATTGTTGGCTTTACGAGCAGGACAAACTTCGAGTCGTTTTTATTGGCGTCTCTGCTGCATTTATGGCTGTTGGCAGTCTCTTTGATTTAATTATCATTTTCTACTCCAACAGAATGAAAAACCTGTACGGCGATGAAAAATAATGCGTTGCCTTTTTGTTGGCGACAAATATCGATTTATTTAGGAAACAGCATATAAAATTTTAAAATGTTCAACAAAATTTTTTTTGAAATTGTTAATAAAATGAACGATAGTAATAATCATCTGCATCTGTCTGATAATAATCATAAGAAGACAAATCCTTTTTAACCGTTTTGTGCTTCTTTAAAGTTTCATCGTCAAGTTCAACAACATCGTTCACGTCTTCATAATCATCAGATTGTTGAACACTGTATTTATCTTCAAATTCATAGTTACTTGATGTAACCGCAGGAGCAAAGTAACCGACATTTTTTTCGGAGCGCAACCCATTTGTTTTTTCAACAAGAACCAAACTTTGCGAATTGCAAATTAACAAACAGTAAAAAAGGATCACGAACAACAGAATACAAATGTTCATTTTGATAGGAGGTAAAATTTGACACAAAATAAATTGCAAATCAAGTAAATACGCATTAGTTACGAATTTAAAAATTGTGGCATATATTTATGATGATCTGCTGATGCTTTGGAATTTTCAACTAATAGTTTTTATGAAAACAAATTATAAAAAGCAACAAGTATCTGATGATCTTTCTCTTCAAGCCCTATATCATTTTTAAGCTCATTTTCCTAAATATCAGCATCAACAAACCACACATTAGCTATTTGTACAAATCACAACATCCTATCCAGTCAAAACATCAATCATTACCTAATAACAAACAACTTTTGATAAAGATATGTTTCTAACTGGGTTTTATAAAATCATATTTTTAACTTCTAGCCAACTAACAAGCAATTCGTACAGAGAAATATCAATTAAAAGTTGATCTAACTAGTCATTGACAGTTACTAGTTGTACAAGTAATACTCAATTACAATAAAAACAAAACCAAGTATATACAAAAAATGGTTTATTTAATGATGTAATCGGATACAAAATAAATAATAAAAAGGTAAATCTATAATCTCAGAATTTTTGACATTTTAAAGTTGGTCAATCAAGTGTTATTTCTTTGACATCCGATGCTTTAACTGGATTAGCCTGGTTCACAAATTCAATTGGAATGGTCCGACTGCTGGGCTTCAGTTCCTCTTCTTTGGGTTTCAGCGGTGCTTCGATTTGCAA